ATCCAGGACCTATCAGTCTCGCGCACGAGCACATAACCACTAGTTTATTATTTATTTTAACACATAGGTATTGGTACAAGGATGCACCAAATGCATATGCGCCACACAAATCTCAATTGATTTGTGTGAGGGCTGTGATACTGCTCGGGTGCCCAAACCGAAGCAGGTGGTTTTCTTAGGGAACCACACCCCAAGCCTTTGACCTGAACGTCTGACCCACAAAGCAGTGGAGCATCGTGAGGAGATGCAGTCCCATGGTAGCCGGTGACCAACGATTGGTTCATACGCCATTTGTTCCTTCAGGTTACTGGAGCTAGCCCATGTGCACGATTGGTTTTGGATCCGGTTAAGGCGCCGGACATTCGCTTTTCGTTCTCTCATTTTCGTAAACAACAGTAATGCCGCGATAAGGCATTGAGTAGGATTTCCCTGGGAGAGGGTACATACGAGTGTCCATGTGAAAGCATTTGGATAGGGAGAGCGAAATCTCCGCATTCTCGGCCGTATCAGGGCATTCGGGGGCACATAACCGCTAGACCTATGAGCTGGTCGTCATCCAACGATGTTAATGTCTAACATTAACTAATCCACGAAATTAAGCGATTCTTCTCTGAAATACTTTGTATTGAGAATTCTACATTGTACTAATAATATAATGTTAAATAAAGTCATTAATACCAATAATAATATTTATATAATATCAACTTCTCAGATAGAAATAAGTAAATAAACTGAACATTTCTATTATTGTCATCCAGTGATTCAGATGTTGATTTGTAAACAGATAATGTATTCTTTGAAGCATTGAACAGATCGTAGATGTACATTTCTGAGAAGTCCCGCAGTAAAACAAAACAATCATCCAATGCTTTTAAATTTTCTACGATGGTGTCTAGCTTCAATTGACAAATGATGTCAACCATTTAAAATTAGTTCTTTCTTTTTTCTATCTGAATATTTATGATTTAAATAAGTTTATTTAGTTAGAATAACGTGGTATATATTTCATTCTATTTCATAGAGAGATAGATATACATCATAATACATAATTTTAATTGTCTAAGATTTCTTGCAATTTTCTGTCTCTAAAAGTGGTAATATATGTATATATATGCTGGAGTACAGGTACACATATTAATGAATGGTGCACATGAGCTCCAGTATCCTGAAGGAACAAATGACGTATGAACCAATCGTTGGTCACCGGCTGGCTACCATGGGACTGCATCTCCTTACGATGCCCCATTGCCTTGTGGGTCAGACATTCAGGTTGAAGTCTCGGGGTGTGGCCCCCTTAAGAAAACCACCTGCTTCAGTTTGGACACCCAGGCAGTATCACAGCCCTCACATAAATCAATTGAGATTTGTGTGGCGCATATGTATTTGGTGCCTCCTTGTACCCATATCTATGTGTTAAAATAAAAATAAATAAATAAAATAAATTAATGAATGATAATTTCTCATTGTTTCTATTCATAATTACAAATGATTATTCATTGATGTTATACATGTATTTTAGAAGTGATCTACTAGATGTATTTTTATGTTACAATTTATTGATCATATTCAGTATATGGCTAACAGTCGAATCTTGAATATTCATTTAGTGCTTCTTGATAATCACACTGAGATTTTAATCATTATTTTAGTGGTGTTCAACTCGAGTTGTTTTGTGAATAAACATATTAACATTGGGATAATATTGTATCTAGGTGACAAGTGCCTAATCAAGATGTAATACGTATTTTAGATAATAAAAAACTGTAGTGTGTACTACTTATGTAAACATAAGTAGTATATGATGTTAGTTGTGAAAAGAATGTCTAGTAGCAGCAGAAGAAGATTGGGGAAGATCAAGAAACGAAAAACGGGAACACAATGGAATTTGTATTAAAAACACATGAACAATGTAATCTAAGACAATGGATTGATGTTTACAACAGGGAATAGTCAAGTTGGACATGATGGATTGATATTTTGCAAATTAATGATTTGATATATATATATAGGGTTCTCAGATTTTATTGAGATGCTCTGTAATTATGCGCCTAAATACATTCGATTGTCTCCATTGATATTCTTGTTCACTACAATACTACTATTACTTGCATAATAACCAAAACCAATGTTGTTATGTTCCGGAACTATCAATCAATACAATATTAATATTAATAATAATAATAATAATAATAATAATAATAATAATTGTGTGAAAATGTTTACTATATAAATCATTGTGTAAACAAGTTGTTTATCATTACTTATAACATATTTATTGGACATATTTTAATTGTTGATCCTTAAATAGTATATACTTATACACGTATATGAATAGACAGGTAAGATAGATAGATAGATAGATGAATAGGTACATAGATCCTTTTGCTTTATATTATCGTCTTGATTTATAAATGATTGATTAATTGTTTGTTTTCAATATGGTTCCATTATTAGATCTGTAAAAATAAAATATTGATTGACTGATTGATTTATCGATTTTTATGTTTGCTTGTTTGTTTGTCCTCTTCATCTCCCAATTATGTACGTATGTGTTTATATATTCATTTAGTAGTTGATAGGCATCTGAAATAATAGTAATAATAATAATAATAGTACGAATCTTTTTCATTCTAATTTTGTTGCTATGCCTACAAAATTTTTCAGTTGGAATTTTATTTTATTATATAATTAAATGAACAAATGATTTGTTCAATCAAAGGATGTGTTTACAACGTAGCAGTTCATTCTGTCCTACTTTATGGCAGTGAAACATGGCCGGTAAGAGTAGAGGATATTTGTAGGTTACTACTAGTATTTGATCATAGATGTCTTCGAAACATTGTTCGTTTGTCCTGGGAGTAAGTAATGCAGTTATTACGAAACAGGTACTAGGTAAAGATGGCAAATCAATTGATGAAGTAGTAAAACTTCATCAGTTGAGGTGTCTGGGACATGTGTTACGTATGTCCACTCACCGACGTGCGATGTTCAATGGTATAGGAGTAGGTTGGAAGAAAGCTAGCGGCAGCCAGACCGAAATATGCCACAAATCCATGAACTCACTGACAAGTGGACTGAACCATGTTAGTAGGTGTAGACAACCTGGTTGGGATCTGAGAAACGATAGCGACCGATGGTTAGAGACCTTAAATGATATGGCTCAACATCGTTTGCAATGGCACAGTTGCACCCACTGTTTGCGTTCTTCTGAATTCTTCATGTCCCTCATTGTTTTTTCTCCTTCCGAATTCATTTCACTTGATTATCCCCTTTTAAAAATATCTTCAAACCCTAATGTTTCCGATGACTGTTTATACTTTTACTACCCCTACCACTAGGGGATTTGAATCGAAAACTGCATCTCTGTGCTAATGTGGTATGACAACTCGAACTGATGTACGTACGTACGTACGAAGTTTCACATTGTTATTGACTGACTGAGTGAATTATTATTAGTGTAAGTGTTTAATTTCCCCTCTTATATTATCGATTTCTACTGATATATCCGTTTTGGAATAATCAGTAACTGATTTACTAGGTAAATAGTATATATATGTACACTCAAGGTGCTTAGCTTTATGACTTATTGTTTGTTTAAATGCTATGAATTCTATATATGGCTATTTAGATATCAAACTACATGAAACTATAAACTGATAATTGAGATCTACAGTATTTCAACTAATAAGGATTCATTCTACTCAGTTTCTATTGATTTCAGATGAAATCGGTGTTCTTAACTTGATGTGATTGTTGGATTTTTTTTCTCATGGTTAACACTAGAACGATAGTCTTGAATGCTTTTGCACATCTATATAAGTTGTGTAGTGTAATATCGGTTAATTCATTTTTAGCTGATCTCTATTTTCCTTGTAGTGGTTGTATAGAATGTTGATATATAATAGCGATCATTATAAAATAATAAAATATATAGCAATAATTAGTAGGTTCGAAGGAACCTCCCACTGAAGGTCAGTCAGTCAGTAACAACGTGGAACTTCGTACGTACATACATCAGTTCGAGTTGCCATACCACATTAGCACAGAGATTCAGTTATCGATTCAAATCCCATAGTGGTAGAGGTACTGAAAGTATAAGTAGAGATAGGGGAAATTAAGGTTTGATGATGTTATTAAAGGAGTATAGTCCAGTGGAATAAATTGGGAAAGAAAATAAAGGACATGAAGAATTCAGAAGATTAGAGTTTGAGAGAACACAAAGAGTGGATGCACCTGCGCCATTGCAAACGATTTTGAGCCATGTCATTCAAGGTCTCTAACCATCGGTTGCTATCGTCTCGCGGTCCCCAACCAGGTAGTCTACACCTACCAACATGACTCACTGAAGGGGCGATACAGAAATTTTGTAATCCAGTTATATACTAATTATATAATAAAATTATCTATGATAATAATACATAAATTGGTTCCATGATTTTCAGCATATAACAATCACTTCAGTAAGTAATATAATGTAAATTCACTTGGTATTGTTTGTTGGAATATTTCCATTGATGTTTAAGACTACAATTGATCAGTCTGTTATTGTCATATGTGCCTACTATGTGGATTGACTCAAAATAGCCTTAATTCATAAGCATTATATACTAAAATGGATAGTGGCCAACAGAAGAATCCGGAACACGCGTTTGTTTTTATTTGGGAATCATCAGCTGAATGTACCTGAATTTCAAAGTTAATGTTCACTCTAGAACTCGAACTCAGTATGATTCGCTTCAAACGCCATAAACAATAAATTTGAGATGCAGCTAATGAGTTCCGAATAGGATGAAACACATGTCTCGGATTCCACTGCTAGCTACTATCCATTGTTGTAATATAATCTGTTTCTAAAAGGAAATGATACCACACATACACATACACACACACACACACGCTTTGGGATATTCTAATCCTTCTCATTTTCCTATTAACACTTTTCATCATTTCAGTTTGAATGTATTCTAAATTGATCTTTTTTTGTTTTCATTTGTTTATAGAATGTCATGTCTGATAAATGGTTAAATATTGGCTATGAAGATAATATTTTAAAACCATATACTGAACCACCACCAGATTATAATGATACAGAGAGATTAGGTAATAAATGTTTACATTTATTACTTAGGAAGAGGTTTAATAGATTGTCCAATTTTTTTTCTCTTTAACTAGATGTTTATTCATATAATTAGATATAGAGATAAAGAGAGAAATGAGTCTGCCGTACAAAATTGATTTAGTCATCAGTGATCGTTATTTTAATGCATCTATGTATATAGACTTTATAACAGAAAGATTAAATAGCGTTGTTTGTTATAGTTTATCTTCGACGAAGTATAGAAGTTTTTTGCAGTTGTCATCGAAAACTTTACCTCGAATCTAACACAAGACCTCCAGGTCTTGAAGCATGGACTTAACAATTAGTCTAAGTTCAGTCAATGCTATTATTGATAAGTGACTGTCTGTTATATCTGTAGATGCTGATATTCTTGATATGACGCACATAACTTGAGGAATTGAAAAAACTTAATTATTTATTTATTTGAGCACATAGATATTGGTACAAGGAGGCACCAAATACATCAACGCTACACAAAACTCATTTGATTTGTGTGAGGGCCGTGATACTGCACAGGTGCCCAAACCGAAGCAGATGGTTTTCTTAGGAGGCCACACCCCGGACTTTCGACCTGAAGGTCTGATCCACAAGGAAGTGGAGCGTAGTAAGGAGATGCAGTCCCATAGAAGCCGGTGACCGACGATTGGTTCACATCCCACTTGTTCGCTAAGGATACTGGGGCCCATGTGCACCATATGTTTTGAATGAGGGTTTTTCAACTCTCCATGTCTACTATCCCGGTTAAAGCGCCAGACATTCGCTTTTCGTCCTCTCAATTTAGTGAGCAACACCCATGGTTGCGTACAGGCAGTGAGTAGGACTTCCCTGGGCGAGGCTATAAATGCTTGGCCATGTTGAGAGCATTTCGAGAGGGTGAGCGGACTCTCCCCACACTCGGCCGTACCAATATTATGAAATGATTAATCTGTTCGTTTTTCAACGACAATATTCCGTCTAAACTGATGATGATGACGATTGCATTCCTACTGAAAGTTCCAAAATCCATATGTATATATTAGTCGATTTTTCAAACTGTGCTCTATACATAACTAAAATGGTATTGTTTCTCTCTTAAAATTGATTTTTTTTATGATATTCATATGCATACTTATTGTATCTTATTTAGAAATTATGCGTATTATGGGTTATCGTCCGGATGATGTTCGTGAAGCATTAATTAAACAAAGTTTTAATAATGTCACTGCAATATATCTATTATTAGCTGATCCTAAAACAAGATTAACTTTACCAGCTGGTAGTCTTTTTCCATCTAATCCATCCCAATCATTAAATGAGAATACAGGACTTAATCATCATCCTCATCATCATCATCATTCATCTGGTTCTGATGGTGTTACAATTGCTGCCTCGTCAACTCCTGTTACTGTTACAGAAGATGAAACTACTACATCATCGAAAGTTCAATCGTCTTTAGATAATCCTAATGAGAATAATAATAATAAACAAAAAACTAATCAAAATGGATTAACATACCAGAATAAAAGTAAGTTAACTTAAATATAAATGTTATATAATCAAAATGTTTATATATTCCTTTACAATTGAGCGTCAAATATATAATACGTCACATAAGTAGTATGATGGAAATAGACAAATTGTAATGTAACAATTAAATGATTAATTTTTCACTATCAAGAAATATGGTATATAAATAATACAAGAAAGAGATTTGTGTGGAAGGTAATTTCATTGGTTATGATCATGAGTCAATTGAAGCTAGACCATCACCATGGAAAACCTGGAAGCACTAGATGACAGTTTCTTCCTAGTATGGGACTTCTCAGCTATGCGCATCCACGACTCCGCCTCGCTGGATTCAAACCCAAAACCTACCAGTCTCGAGCCAAGCGCTTAACCAACTAGACCACTGAGTTGGCCGGCATTCAACGGTATTAATGTCTAACTTCAACTAATCTATGAAATTGGTCGACATATCCACCATTTTCTTCAGTGAGTTACTATCTCACAACTGACCCAGTTGAACTCCACTAGTCACTACTTCTCACTAAAACTCCAGTATATACTTCTTGAAGTCAGTCACTAGTGAGCATATGTTGATTAATATTAGAAGGGGATTTTGTGAAGATTTTAGTAATTTCAATGGTTAAGATCATGAGTAATTATCTGTTTGATAAATATAACAAAGATGTAGAATAAATGAACTCGTGGTAATCATAGCACATACAATTAAAACGGTTAATTTAACACCATGGCTAAATCAGGAATTGTATACTGTAATACTACTTTTAAGCCAATTTGGCTAACTTTGTAAATCGCTTTACGTTATGAATCTGATTTCGGGAGGCGGGATAAATCACCTAAATTGGTCAAATGTTTAAAAATTGATCTATTGGATACCATCGTCGTAGTATAGGATGCCGTCAGTGCTCATCCGCTATCGCGTACTTGGAACTCAAATCCAGCACCTTTGGTCTCACGCACAAATGCTTAACATCTAAACCATTGAAGTAGTATCCAATGATGTTAATCTCTAACTCTAGTCAATCTGTGATCTTGAGCCATCATCCATTGCGTTAGGTGGATAACTGTGTCACACCCGACACGGATTGAACTGCACTGGTCACGACTTTTGACTAGAACTCCAAGAGTTATATTTCGAATCTAGTCACTAATTATCAGATGACTATTTAAAAGTATGGGGGATTAGTAGAAATTGTTTTATTTTCACAATTGAAATCCAGGTTTTCAATGGTGGCCTGGTTACGATCATTTCGTGGTATCAACTGCGAAAATACTACAATCTTTTCAAATCTCTCTTACTAATATCCATCTTGTGTTATGTTATTATGTTTTGTTGATTTTCGAAATGTGGCTCTTACACTATCTAATTGTGGTAGTAGTAGAAGTAGTAGTGAGTTGTGAAATAAAATTTGATTACAGTTTAACTGCAATCTACTAGATACACACTGGTCTAAACATGAAATAGAAATATGTGTGTAAATAAATGGGACTAAAAGGAACCTGTGATGTATTGTTTCATTAAAAGTGTATCACGTTGTTATGAATTTATTATATATAGATGTATGTGTATTTGAACACATAAATACTGGTACAAGAGGCCACCAGATACATATGCGCCACACAAATCTCATTTAATTTGTGTGAGGGCTGTGAAAATACCCAAGTGGTATTCTTAGGGGGCCACATCCGGAGCCTTTGACCTAAATGTCTGATCCACAATGCAGTGGATCATTGTAGGAAGATACAGTCCCATGGTAGCCGGTCATCAACGATTGTTTCATATGCTATTTGTTCTCTCAGGGTACTGGAGCCTATGTGCACCATTGGTTTGGAATCAGGGTTTTCCATCTCCCCTAGGTGAACTCTCTGTGTACACCAACTCGGTTAAACCACCAGACATTCGCTTTTCGTGTTGTCCATTTCGTAAACAATACCTCCGCCACGAGAAGGTAGGTATTAGGACTTTTCTGGTAGAGGCTATATACGCATGGTCATGTGACAGCATTTTGTTTTCCGAGAGAGAGGGAGAGAGAGAGCGGACTCTCCCCACTCTCGGCCGTACTTGGGCGTTCAGGGGCAAAATTAATCAGTCCTTTGTTGTAGTGTACATATTCTATACTATTAACTAATTTAGATGAATGTTCAATTGAAATTTGTATGTTTCTTTCTGAAAACAAAATCCATATGTAAAATCACTTTTATATTGGAGGCGTTGAGTTCTTTGAATCTTCATTGTACATATATATATATATAGTTGTTGTTGTTGTTGTCGTTGACATTCTTTCTGTATCCTATGGAATGTGTATGCAAATGAATTAGGATTGTTTGTTTGTGTCTTTTTTCTTTCTAAATCTTATTCATTTGTATCTGGTCTCTTTTTTCGTTGTTGTTGTTGTTGTTGTCGTCGTCTTGTCTTAATTTAGTTAATATATATGCATATTATATTTTGTTTGAGATATAGATTATGCATTAATCATATGTTGTATAAGACTAGTGAACTAATTCGTTAAAATATTGTTTGTAGTCATTAAATAATATACATTCATAGATGAGATGATTTCAAGTGGTTTCAGAAGTTTACGGGGGGGGGAGGCAGTTGTCACTTACAAATAGACTATACAGTTAAATTATACTTCTTTTGTACAACTGATTAAGGAAACTGATGGAAGGGTGATTTGTACAAGCTGGAGGTAGAACTGATTGAGACCGATCAGTTACAGGCTTTTCCTGAAAAGTTTTAGGTGTATCGACTCCGTATTTATAAGGTTTTACAGAAATCTGTGGGAGGAGGAGTAATAATGTGTTTTTATAATACGGCTTTTTCTACGTACACACTTTTGGAAGGCATCATCGTTTAAGATGCTGTTACTCTCAAAGACATATATTATTTCTATTACATAATCCAATAAAGTTGCGAGTACTCTCCTTCCCTATGACCATAAGTTTAATGGGATGGTAAGACCTAGAGCGATTGTTCCAACTCATATAGCTTGACTGGATCATCATGATAAATATGAGCGATAAACCTATCAACGTAGCAGTTACATCACTTTCACAAATTCCTTTGACAAAATACTGTGTGTAGTTTTTACATTTCATCTTCTTATTTGATATTCAATGGTATGATCATATTTGAATCATTAAATGATCTTTACATTTACAAGGTAAACTGAAATTTCAATTTGATAAGTCTTGCAATTTTGAACGCTATACTCGGCTCTTAAGCTATTCTTGTAACCCCCAAGCTAGAACTATACAGCAACCTGAACATGAGCGAGAAAGTGCAAACCATGCGAAAAGTACTTTACTCTAAGGTTCATTTTAATATAGAAAATATAGGGTTTTTATACTATTTCTAAATGTCCTTGGGTTGCTCGAAGATTCTGGAATGCTACTATAACAATCAACCAATCAGAACCTCTACATATGACGTTTCATATCCTTGATGTTTCTGGCTAAACTCCAAGTGAACGCTGATTGGATGAAATGTTTCTTATGGTTCCTGATTCTTGCGTCTTTTGCGAGAACTTTTCTGGATCATCCCAACACAATTAAAATGTAAATGTATCTATTCAACAACAAACTTCTCTCTTATTAGAAGAAAAAAAAGGAATATATCTTAGAAATTTAACGAACATCACAGAATTCTCTTTCTGAATGGCAGATATCCGAGGGACATATCAGATAAATATACAGATAACAGCATATGTATTATTATTATTATTGTTAATTGAACACATAAATATCGGTACAAAGAGGGCACCAAATAGATATGCGCCACACAAATTTTCATTTTATTTGTGTGTGGGCTGTGATACTGCTCGGGTGCTCAAACTGAAGCAAGTAGTTTTCTTAGGTGGCTACATCCCAAGCCGTCGACCTGAACGTCTGATCCACTAAAGAGTAGAGCATCGTAAGAAGATGCAGTCCCATGGTAGCTGGTGACCAACGATCGGTTCACATCCCACTTGTTCGCTCCGGATACTGGATTCAGCCTATTGGTTTGGGATCCGGTTAAAGTGCCGGACATTCACTTTTCGTCCTCTCATTGTCGTGAACGACACCCCCGCCACATGAGTGCAGTGAGTAGGACTTCCCTAGCAGAGGATGTGAGAGCATTTCGAGAGGTAGGGCGGGCCCATCCTACTCTCGGTCATAAATTGTTTATTTGTTTTGGTTTTCTCAATATAGTTTTAAAAATGAGTTAAGAGTTATTTTGAATCGGATATTATAGAGGTTCCATTGAATGAAGTAGTCTTTTTCACTATATTCACTCTACTTACTTACTGCGTTAACATCTCATTTGTGTGACTAGAACCAATTCATAATGCTTTGTTTTTGTGTAATTACAACTATTTTGCTTCTTCTTCAAATTTTTCGTGCTTTCATATAAAATGACTTATATAATTCAGTTGGTCTCCACACACTCACACACACACATCGATTTCTCAGAATACCTAAAACAATTTATCCATTTATATCATCATCATCATCATTTATTTGATTGTTTTCATCATTGGATACATTTAATCGATTAGATTATTTTATTTCTATGGAAAAGGAATAACAACAAAAAAATATATACTCTTTCCTTTTTCTCTCTCTGTCTTTTTCTTGGTTGTACGGTCGAATAAAACAAGTGAATATTTTCAGTTTTATATTGATCTGAATTGGAAAAAAAAAATTTTTTTCGTTTTTCCGATTATTACCATTATTGTTGTTACTATGCAATTGTTCTCATTCTTGTGTTCGTGTGTGCGTGTGTGTGAGCTTTTGTATAAGTTAGAATGTCTATTTATTCTCTTGTTGAAAATTACAAAAAATTATTTAGATAAAGTTTGTTTACATATTTATGTTGTTGTTTTTTCTTCTTTTTTTATTGATTTGTATTGATTATCAATGTATTGTATAATGATTATTGTTAGTCTAGAATTTGTCCAGTATTTTCTACTGCCCTCCCCCCCGTCCAAACTCCAACTCTTTCTTTTCCTAAGCATGATTAACTGTTGTCAATATTTTTTTTCTTGCACTCATAACAATCATGTATTCATTAGTGATACATTGTAAGAGATAATTCCTTGAATTGTAATGTAAAAAATGCTGTTACCAAGGGAGTTCCACTTCATTGAATGTGAGACAGTAATTTCTCAATCATATTATTGAAAGATTGTTCATTATAATGAATTGATTGAAATGGATTTTGTTGAGCATTCAATGTTATTTTGACTCAAAAAATAAGAGTCTTGGGGGTTTTCCCTGGTGCGTTTCAGATATATACTGCTAGAGTCTCATACTAGGTTGAAACATACTGACTACTGCCTATATTTCATTGGTTGTCCAGTTATAATAATTATCTCGTGTAAGCTATATAGTTATAGAAAAATAGTTACTCTATCTTATTTACGGACTGCTCCCAAATGCCCTGGTATGGCCGAGAGTGGGGAGAGTCGGTTCTCTCTCTCTTGAAATGCGTATATAGCCTCTCCCAGGGAAATCCTACTCACTGCCTTACCGTAGCGGGGGTGTTGTTTACGAAAGTGAGAAGACGAAAAGCGAATGTCAGGCGCTTTAACTGGATCCCAAATCAATGGTGCACATGGCCTGGCCCCAGTATCCTGCGGGAACAAATGGCATATGAACCAATCGTTGGTCACCCGGCTACCATGGGACTGCATCTCCTGACGATGTTCCACTGTCTTGTGGATCAGTCAGGTCGAAGGCTTGGGGTGTGGCCCCCTAAGAAAACCACTTGCTTCGGTTTGGGCACCCGGGCAGTATCACAGCCTATACACAAATCAATTGAGATTTGTGTGGCGTATATGTATTTGGTGCTTCCCTGTGCAAATATCTATGTGTTAAAATAAAATAAAACTAATTATATACAGGTTAGTTCTGCTACTATTGTTTCTTGAATTAAAGGCAGCATTTGACTTTGTAGACCACGAGATTCTGTGGCAGTGTCTGTCATGATAAGGCGTAACTTAAAAGTACATAAACCTTGTGAAGTCTCTTAACTCGAACACTACTAGTCGAGTCAAAACTTATAACAAACTGTCATCTGCTTTTGCAACCTCAAGTGGTATCCGTCAAGGCTGTCCACTTTCTCTATTTTTGTTTAACTTTATCATAGACCTACTGATGGAAATAACTCTCTCATTGACTGAATTTTCGTGCATTGATTTCCTACCAGGTGGTCCACTTTTGGACTTAGAATACACAGATGTTTGGTGAAGACGCTGATAAAATGCAGATTCATTTCATAGCACTGAGCAACAATACCAGAATTTTTGGGATGCGTGTCTCCCCCTCTAAATACAAGTTGTTACTTCAGGACTGACCTGCGTCAACACCTGAACGAGGTATGACAACTTAGATCGCAATGCACATATGTGCCTGCTGTCCTACGTTGTAGTTGATTGACCGACTAACTGACTGACTGAAAAGGTGAAGAATAGTTTGAATCCTAATTAATGACTTATATGTTGAATATTCTTTTTCACCTGCAAACCATAATTTAGTTAAATCACGTAAAATCATCTAACATAGATAAACTATGACTGTACTCATTTATTTTGATGAATTAGTTGAATTCATTAACATATAAATATATTATGTATTATACATGGATACATGAATATTCTCATTTCATTACACTTCACTTCACTTCATCATTGTATTCTACTTGTCTATAATGAGTAATTTAAGATTATTCACCTTGTTTTTATTCTACAATTTATCGTTTAGTATAAATTCAAATGTAGTTTGTAATGAAAACGACGACAACAACAACAACAACAACTAAACACACACTAACCTAGAACTTGGTTGATGTGTATTCGTCAAATCGTGGTACAGATTATTGATTACATTCTTATTTTTTTTATAATAAAGACAATCTAATTCATCTTTTACACTATGTCAATTTGTAAAAATAAAACTATTATCTAGCATTCTTTCAAGTGAAACATTACTGATTATGTATGGTTGAAGTATATAGATTTAGACTATTTGGTCTTGTTATATCCCGATAAGTTATTTATTTATTTGAATAGATAAATACTGGTACAACGAGGTACCAGATACAGATGCGCCACATAAATCAAATGAGATTTGTGTGAAGGCTGTGATAATGCTCAGGTGCCCAAACCGAAACAGGTAGTTTTCTTAGCGGGTCAAACTCCGAGCCTTTAACTTAAAAGTTTAATCCACAAAGTAGTGGAGCAACGTAAGGAGATGCATTCCCTTGGTAACCGGTGATCAACGATTGGTTCATACGCCGTTTGTTTCCTCAGGGTACTGGAATGAGGGTTTTCCAACCCCCCTAAATGTCCACCGACCCAGATAATGCTGCGGACATTCGCTTTTGTTGTTTTTAATTTCGTAAAGAACACCCCCGCCACGAGAAGACAGTGAGTAGGACTTCCCTGGAAGATGCTATATACGCGTGGTCATGTGAGAGCAGTTTTCGAAAGAGAGAGAGAGAGCGCGGACTCTCCCCACTGTCGGCCGTACCAGGGCATTTGGTAACTTTTGGGATCCATTTATGGACCAATACTGTGCGTATACTTTTATCGTATAATTGTTAAATAATTAAACTATTCATATTCGTGTCCCTCCTATTATGAGCTTTCTTTTACTCTATGAACTATTAATATACGATTTACCATTCTTGGGTTATACCCAGTCTATCAATTACTATCTCCTTCATTCCCAGCCACTTTTGGCCAAATATTATACAAATGTTATTTTCTATTTTATGGTTTATTTTGGTCTGTCTGGTTGGTATATAAACCCCTTTATGCTTCAAATAAATGATTCATATTGTAAAGGCTGAGATCAGTGTTCTGTACTTAACAAGCTGGGTTAAACATGAAGCGAAACCTATCAAGACTCTAGGCTGATTGTATGTGTTTTATGCTTCATTGGTTCAATCGATAATTCACTGCTCTCTAATTGGTGTGGTATTATTATGTCATAGATTGATAAGGGCACAGAGGTTCACAAGTTATGACATAATACGAACTGCACCTCTCGTCTAGTTCAGTTTTTGTACTTATATTAAAGGATATATATATATATATTTTATATTCAAAATTGTTAAGTTAACTTTATTACTATGAAGCGAAACCGTAAACTAATTATCATTCGTAAATTTATATTTACCAATCTAATATATCCCTGCTTCGGTTTGGGCACCCGGGCAGTATCACAGCCCTCACACTTATCAAATGAGATCTGTGTGGCGCATATGTATTTGGTGCCCCACTTGTACCAATATCTATGTATTGAAATAATAATAATAATCTAATATATCCATTTTGATTACATTTCTTATGTTTCTTATGTTCATTATCACTGTTATTTTACATTGTATCACTTCTTTTTCATTTCAATTATAAAAATTTATGGATAAATATGTACCAGTATGATGTTCTATTCTTAATACTTGACAATAATGGCTACTTTATTATGATTGTTAAAATTACACATTGTAATAAGAAGTCAAGATTAATTGTTTTATGTCTGCTTGATTATCTGGGCTATCTGTTCCTCTCATCTAGAGATTTCGTCAAGTGATCTGTTTTTCTTGTTTGTTTTTAACACCCTATTATGTCTATTGAACTCACAACGTATTCAGGCACGTTTATGAAAAGTTTACAATCTTTCGCTGTACGGATTACAAAAAGGTATAACCAGCAACATCATGGTGACTTGCAATATGCATTGAAACGAATGAACATTATTCAGATGTCGATTATCGAACTCCTAACATCTAACTGGTCATCACTCAATATATGCATCGTCAGGATCGATCAAGATATAAGAATAGGAAACTTGTTGAAATACTTTATGCTGAGAATTCAATAGTGTACCACAAATATAATATTAAATAAAGCTTATAATAATAATAATAAGCTAGTGATATATCAGTTGATTGATTAGTGACAAATTTAAAACTGGAAGATAAAAAAAAAACAAACCATAAATTTTGTTAAAATGAAATTCCAATTCATTGTTTTCCATTGATAATTCTCATCTGTAATGACTCTATCTTTCCCAAACAATATGAGAATTTACAATAGGTTATCTCTGTAAATAACGTAAGTGATCTTCCCTAACGAAATTTATATGTTAGTAGCACCTGAAATATACAAAACTAATACATCAATACTACTTACATGTTGGTCTTATGTGACTGATATAATTCAGTTGCCATTTAATCCTTGTAAATACATTCAATGATTGTTAAGACTACTACAGACTCAGTTTCATTTTCAAGTCCCTCCGGTATAAGTATTAGTCAGTCAGTCAGCTGCAACGTAGGACCAGGCATGTATATGCATCGGTCCAAGTTGCCATACCGGATTAGCACAACAAGATGAACACCGGATTCATAGAAGTAGTTAATTCAGTGGTGGTAATATATGGAAGAAAGATTGTGTATAAGGATATAGTACAGGAAGAAATAGTGAGTTCGTAGAAAGATATGAAGCGATTTTAATCTCATAGTTTAAAGGAAGACAGAGAGTGTATATACCAACGCCATTGTGATCGATTCTGAGCCATGTCACTAAGAGTCTCCAACCATTGGTTACGATAGTCATTTTAAGACGTCTAAAATCTGGATTGTAACAATTGCACATATACCTCCTCTAATAGCATTCAAAACTGACTTTATTCATAGTTGAATTCTATTTAACCCTATAAAAAACTATCACTTATTGTTTGTCTATCTATTTCACAACTGGTTTTATTTCTATGAATTAAATATAGTTTTAGCGTAGTTTTTTTTTAAAATCTATCCTGTTCTTTTTTTCATTTAGAAGAATCTGGACAAGACACTAGTGGATCTCAATATAATGGAGTACGACGGGTCAGTGGTATCTCTTGGATGAAGCAAAGGTTAGCAAATCAATTGAATTATCATTACTTCACCAATGAAATCAATTCATGTAAATGATTGTTTTGTCAATGTGTTTGTATGTGTTTAATTATCTTGTGATACGTCAACTTAAGCTGATTGTGTTAACTGTAATGGAATGTCTGATGTGGTCATTTCAATGATTCTCTTCTCGCTGATTAATCTCTTTTTTATTCCATTAAAACTTCTTCAATGTGTTTTTTTTTCATTCCAGTGCAAGTGCTGGTCCAACATCTAATAGACAAGAGAAATTGAGTGTAGATGAAAAGTGAGTTGTTATTATTATTATTATTATCAGCAATTGTTTTTGATTTCTATTTTTTGCTTTCATGTTTATATTTAAATATACCTCCTCAATGTATGTTTCACTACCCACAAAATGGTCGTGCGTGACCGACCTCAAGCAACTGTCCTTTGGGTACTGCGGTCACGCTCTTAGGGCACTAAGATCACCTTCAATCCAATTTCCTTTTCAGGTACCTTCAGAAGAACCGTTCCACGGTGTGGGAAACGATAAAGTCATAAGTCTTGCGATTTTTGAACGGTATACTCGATTCCCTAAGCTATTCTTGAAAACTCTCAAAGCTAGAACTATACAGCGACCTGAGCACGAGAGAGAAGGCGCAAAGTATGCGAAAAAGTACTTTACTCCAAGGTTCATTTTTGTACAGAAAAACATGGGTATTTATAGATGTTAACATTTGTTAAATCAACATCATATTTTGGCGAATCCGCTAAAAGACATATTATCCTACTGACCAATAGTAGCACACCAGGTTGGCATTCTAGAAAACTCCATCGTGCTCTGATTGGCTAAGACTCTTTGGTTCCTTCAGGGCCTCCGGATACTCTATTGCAGTTCTCGGAAAGCCGACTTAACAATAAGCGCCCTCATACCTCCTCTAACAGCACTCAAGACTGACTCACTCACTGACTACTTATTTACTAATTATTTTAAGTAATATCTCAAAGAAAAACAAATAATACAATCTTTTGAATTCAGTCAATTAAACATAAACATTATCGAACCTGGTGTATATAAGTATATCGATCTACATGATGTTAATACATGGAGATGAACAACAAAATAATAGTACTGGTGTCAATGATAATAATCGACTTAGCGTATACATAAAATAGACATTGTTGTTATCTCAATCATTTTCGTTTTTCTTTAACAAAGACAAAATTTTACATAACGTTGTAAATCCATTGTACACCTTCGACATAACTTACTGCATTGTAATTGCTTAAAATTGTTATATCTAGAAGGTTGATTACTTGATATACCGCGTATAACTGAACACTAGAACGCCAAAACCCTTCCAAGTCACAAGGAGAAGATAGAAGACTAGTGAAAGGAATATTATTCCAAAAAAATGTCCATTATGGTACAAATTGTCAGGTATTTATAGTTTTTATTAAGAACAAAAATCATCATTATAGTCCTCCAATCCGCATACAGGAGGTTATTAGCCTTGTCCAATCGGGAAGCTACATGTAGGAATTCTAGAATATTCTTCTGAAAGGTGATTGGAATATCTTCGGCTCCTTCTGAGCCTCTTACAGCTTCCTCGAGTTCACCCGTGGTTTCTTCGTCAAAAAAATAAATTTGGTTTATTCTAGATGCCCATTAGTTGAGTAAAATGACATCTGTAATTGTTGTCATGAGATCACTCGCGAAACTTTTCATACTCCTTTCATATTGTGGGTTAGTTTTTGTGAAAGTAAAAGAAATAAGGGCCAGTCTTCTATGCCTAAACTGGGTTAGTGTGTATTGTAGGTACATCTAAGGAAATTGAAAAACTTTGACTACAAATTAACGTTGTATGTTGGATCAGCATCTATAGGGAAGAAATAATGATAAGGAATTAGTTTTATCTGCGGATATCCTGAAACAATATATCTTAACTTTGTTAAACTGGTGTATCCATTAGTCCTAATTCTCAGAAAAAACATCTTTCGAGTAGATTTCCTGCTTCAGCCTGGACTGCGGTCAGTATTTCAACCAAACACATATATTTTATAACCGTCAATAATTAAATTAAAATTGCAATATAACACGATAGATAAACTTTCATAGTGGCTGTTCATATGCGCCACACAATTCACTTGATTTGTGTGTGGGCTGTGATACTGCTTGATGCCCAAACCGAAACAGGTAGTTTTTTTTTTAGAAGGCCCTACCCTGAACCTTCGACCCAAAGGTCTAATACACAAAGCAGTGGTGCAACGTCGGAGGATACAGTCTCATGGTAGCGGGTGACCAACAATTGGTTCATACGCCATTTCTTTCCTCATGATCCTCGAGCCTATGTTTACCATTGGTTTGAAATCAGTGTTTTGCCGCTGCCCAAGATGGACTCTCCGTGTCCATCAACACGGTTAAAACACCGGACATTCGCTTTTCGTGTTGTCAATTCCGTAAACAACAGTAATACCACAAGAATCCAATCAGTAGAACTTCCCTGTCAGTGGTTGTGTGCACGTGGTCATGTGAGAGCATTTTGAGAGAGAGAGAGAGCTGACTCTCCCCACTCTCAGCCATAAAAGAGCATTTGGGTGCCCAAATGTAGTAAATCATATCTGGTTTTTATTTAATTTGTTTTCTTTTCTATTCTGAAATCGGGACAATCTTTTCTAGTTGTTTATTTTTTGAGGTTAAACAACACAATCACATGTGCATGTACTTGTGTCACACACACACACACACGAGTATCTATGTGAGTTAGCAAATTACAAGTAAATGTGTACCTAGAAGTGCATAGATATTATTGACGATGTCGTAAAAAGACTTGTTAACATTTAGTAGTTAGTGAATAGGGTTTCATATTTTTAATGTGTGTGTATATATATATATATGTATGTATAGAATGATTGTCTTCGTTTGGTGGTGGGGTTTCTTTATTATCATTTACCATAAGTTTACATTAGCTACCATTTTAGTGTCAAGTTTCCGTGAATATATGACATCATCAAGATCATTTTATATTGAGTTTTTTTTTTGTTTGTCTGAAAAGTTTCATCATTAAATAGATCTGATGATGTGTATAATGTGAACTATTGTTTCATACTGTTCCGGTTAAAATCCTCTTTGCTAACTTTTATTCTCCCTATATCTCTAACTCTTTTTCCTTTTTATGAAATCCATCTTAAACGAAGATTCATTTGGGTTCATATTGCAACAATTTGATAAAATATTGATTTATGATGTAACATAGTTTAATAAACAATATTAACAGTTATAATTTATATCATAAAACCAGTTAAATCCAGGAAACAATAGACAACCCCCAAATGCCCTGGTAAGGCCGAGAGTGGAAAGTGTCCACTTCCTTCTAGAAATGTTGTCACATGGTCACACGTATATAGCCTCTGCTAGAGAAGTCCTACTCACTGGCTTCTCGTGGCGGGGGTGTTGTTTATGAAAATGAGAAGACGAAAAGCGAATTTCCGGCGCTTTAACCGGATCCAAAACCAATGGTGCACATGGGCTAGCTCCAGTATCCTGAGGGAACAAATGTTATATGAACCAATCGTTGGTCACCGGCTACCATAGGACTGTATCTCCTTACGATGTTCCACTGCCTTGTGGGTCAGACGTTCAGGTCGAAGGCTTGGGGTGTGGCCCCCTAAGAATACCATCTGCTTCAGTTTGGACACCCAGGCAGTATCACAGCCCTCACATAAATCAATTGAGATTCGTGTGGCGCATCTGTATTTGGTACCTCCTTGTACCAATATTTATGTGTTAAAATAAATAAATAATAGTTCGACGTAGACCATCGGTGGTTTAATTTTCTGATATATGTATATTGTACATATTCATATGTAAGAAAATTGTGTATTAGTATCAATAGATAGACACTCAGCAACAAAACAGTATCAAAACGTTAAAGACATAGAATAACTTGGATCAGAATCAGTTATAACGACGTCGATGCATTCAGTCCTTGTCTAGAAACTTAAACTTTTTATTCCCCTAATTTATTTATTTAATTTTTTTTAACCATGTTGCTTATGCCCTAATCTTATCTACTATCACTGATAGTGTGACTACTTCTAATATTTATGTTGATAATTTGACTCCCTATGTTTATGTGGTGTAACGACTTGAACAGATATACACATGTCCCAGATCTTACGTTGCTAATATCTGACAGATACTAGCGAAGATATAAGCGGACTTTTGTTACTTACGTAGTGATTGATTAATTGTAACATTGTTAGCATTATTGTCTTTGTATTTATTTAATTTTTTTGTGTGTTTTTTTTTAAAATTCATTTTCAAATATACACAAAGATCTCGTCTACTTCCACGTATTCGTGTATCTGACCTACGCGAACGTGGTAATGACTCAAATCTGGATGATTCTACTGGTCAAGAGAAAATCGATGAAAGTAAAGATATAATGATGGAATCTTCTAATGGTGGTGATCAATTATCTGTACGACGTATGAATACTTTTAGTATGTCAGATAAGGTTCGTCCAAATGGTTCGGATTCTCAGTCACCTAGTCTGAAATGTCCATTGTCTAGAGCACCACCAATGTCAAATATACCAAAGTAAGATTTCTTTTTGTTTTTCTACATATTATGTCTCTGATAGTGACTGTCTGTCAAACGATAAACATATTTTTGCATATTATCAATTTATAGATGTATGTTAGCTAAGTAGTTTATATAGTCAATCTTCACTTTCCCGTCTATGATCATAGTAAAATGGTTCGTTGTTGGTTGATTCATCTGAATTGATTAGTATAGTTAGACTGTAAAATAAAGCAATATGCCGAAGAAATCTGTACTTATTGTGAGAAGTTACAAAACGTCGCTTACATAATACATGTACAGAGCTTTCAATCATCCATTTGCATATTTCGATGTGTTCTGCAATCTGAACTGTCTTCTTGTATGCTCTGCAAGTATTCTGCCTACGTCGTGCTTTCTCTGTACAGAAACTCTTCACTCCATCTGACGATTATCGGAACTTAGACACCACGTTCCGCAAAATACTACTTATAAATAAACCACGAAAACTATAAAGTACTTGATATCTCTTTTGTCGTAGTATTTCGTGATATTATTAACCTATCTTTCAATCATTCACATTTGATTGAATTTCACTGTTCACAGCTTCTCACTGTAATTTCTTGAATTAATCCCTTGACTGTTTCGCTTCTTACTTACATCGATATAATTATTACCGGCTTTTACTTAGTTTACTTTTTATTAATATCGTCTCTGTATGTAGTGATGTTGATCGTAGTTAGTCACTCGTATTACTATCATTGTCATTATTGTTATTGTTATTATTATCGGGACTATTGTGAAATTTTTCAGCTCACTAACTACTCCAACAACTAGTAGTAGTGAAAATTCACCGATCAAACAGTCAGCTGACAAGTCTTCGTCGTCAGCATCATCTTCATCATCGTCGCCCAGTAAGCAGAATGGTAATGAACAACAAACAATTAAATTAAATCAAGCTGTTCCATATTCAGAAGAAAATCCGTAAGTTGTCATTTGTTCTATAATCATATTACTTCATATGCCTTACAAGTAATCGTTGTTTGATAGTTTCTTGATATTATGATGATACTGCGTAGCTGTGGCTCAATGGTTCAGGGGTTCGACTTACGGACGCTAAGTTCCATGTTCGAACCCCGCTTTATTTAATTCTGTTTGGGCATACAGTTAATATCCTAGACTCTCATACCTGAGTACATAATGAATAAGTTGAACAAAAAATGATGGTTGTCGGTAGTGATTATTTATTCAGTGATGACAATGATTTACTCGGGACCCAATCTTAGCGCATTGGAACTTCCATTATCTCCATACATTATCCTTATTGCAACTGATTCAATCTAATTATCTTCCTTGTTGTTAGTGTTGTTATATATTTACTCACTCTCCGTTTTCAAGGGCATTTCAACTCCCATTATAGTAATCTTCACATCATCCGTCTAACCTGAATCGATAGCGAAATCATAATAACCGGTCAGTATAGTTATGTGACTTAAAAAAAAGTTATAAAGTGACTTGTTTATTCATTAGAGTAACAGTTTGTCAATAAAACCAAGATAAGGCGAATTAGATCATTTGAAGCCTTTCTAACATGAAGCATTCCCTTCACTCATAGTTATTTACTAAATCGATACTAACTATCGTCATAGTATATTTCATATCTCTCTGTGTGTGTGTGTGTGTATGTGTCAACAATGATCTTTTTGGGCACAATTTCATTTTACACTTCTCTTTTCAATGTCATTAATATGGAATATGTAAGTTGTATTTGAAATTATTTATTTATTTATTTGAACACATAAATATTGGTACAAGATGGCACCAAATATATATGGGCCACACAAATTTTCATTCCATTTCTGTGTGGGCTTTGATACAGCCCGGGTGCCCAAACCGAAGTTGGTGGTTTTCTTAAGGGACCACACCCCAAGCCTTTAACCCAAAGGTCTGACCCACAAGGCAGTAGAGCATCGTAAGGAAATTAGTCAGTTAATCTATAAATCTTCTCTATTATCTATTTGTTATCTATTAAGGAATTTATTTTATATGTGTATGTTGTTTTTTTTTTCTTATTGTAATTAATTCTTTTATGTTATCTGTGTTAATGAATAACATCCCCCAATGTGTTTTTTAGTGTAATTCATTGAAGTATTTATTTACTTTAACACATAGGTATTGGTTCAACGAGGCACCCAATACATATGCGGGCTATGATACTGCCCGGATGCCCAAACCGAAGCAGGTGGTTTTCTTAGGAGGCCACACCTCGAGCCTTCGACCTGAAGGTCTGATCCACAAGGCAGTGGAGCATCGTAAGGAGATGCAGTCCCATGGAAGCCGGTGACCAACGATTGGTTCATACACCATTTGTTCCTTCAGGATACTGGAGCTAGCCCATGTACACCATTGATTTGGGATTCGGTTAAAGTGCCGGACATTCGCTTTTCGTCTTCTCATTTTCGTAAACAACACCTGTGGTGCGAGAAGGTAGTGAGTAGGACTTGCTTGGTAGAGGCTGTATACGCGTGGCCGTGTGAGACTATTTCGAGAGGGAGGGTGAACCCACCCTACTCTCGGCCATACGAGCGCATTCAGGGACTATTTGGAATTATTGAATTCCGATTAGTTCTTCAATGTTATCGTTTTCATATTTGTTTTAATTCATTCTCTTCAATATCATCATTATTATAAGGAATGAGTTAATACACTATCTTTAACGTAATTTACAAGCTTTTGTGTAAAATTCAAAAGTGAATAAATTTCATCATATGTAGTTTATTATGAGAATAACTTTGCATAGTTACTAGAATTTTTGACATTGTTCAAAGAAAATTCTTTTTTACTTGTTTGTTTGTTTGTATGTTGTTGTTGTTGTTGTCATATGAATGTTAAACGTATCAAGTACATTGAGTCTTTGTTAGTTACAGTTATTACATAATATGTTTATCAATAAGGTTTGGTTTCAATTGACTTGGTTGTATTGATTAGCTTAGTGAATGTCAAAATGAAGATTAGTTTAAATGTATGTATGGCAGCGAAACATAGCCATTAAGAGTTGAAGATACTCGTAAACTACTACTATTTGACCACATATGTCTTAGAAATATTGCTTGCATCTACTGGGATCACCGCGTACGTAATAGTGAGGTTAGACGCAGGGTATTAGGGAATAATGATGGTGAATCAGTTGATAAGGTTGTAAAAAATCTTCAAGGCAGTGGAGCATCGTAAGGAGATGCAGTCCCATGGAAGCCGGTGACCAACAATTGGTTTATACGCCATTCGTTCCCTCAGGATACTGGAGCCCATGTACACCATTGATTTGGGATTCGGTTAAAGTGCCGGACATTCGCTTTTCGTCCTCTCATTTTCGTAAACAACACCTGTGGTGCGAGAAGGCAGTGAGTAGGACTTCCCTGGCAGTGGCTATATACGCATGGCCATATGAGAGCATTTCGAGAGGGAGAGCGGACTCTCCCCACTCTGAGCCGTACCAGGGCATTTGAAGGGGGGGCATTTAACACCAACATTATCCCATTTCTGTAAACCTTCAACAAATTGATTCACAAAATATTTTTGGCACTGTATAAAAGTATTCACTATGAATAGTTATTCACTTAGATATATGAAGTTACATAACAACATTTCTACAATATTATAGTTAGAGAAATAACCAATAATGAACTTGAATCAATCTATAAATATATTCATAGTGACAAAACTTTAAAAGAGTTTATTATCTTTACTGTGTAATAGTTTTTTTGATTTGTACAAACTCTTTCCTTATTGATTGAAAGTACCCCCGAATGCCCTGGTAAGGTCGAGAGTGGGGAGAGTCCACTCTCCCTCTCGAAATGCTCTCACATGACCACGCGTATGTAGCCTCTGCCAGTGACGTGCTACTCACTGCCTTCTCGTAGCATTACTGTTGTTTACGAAAATAAGAGGACGAAAAGCGTATGTCCAGCGCGTTAACCGGATCCCAAACCAGTGGTGCACATGAGCTAGCTCCAGTATCCTGAAGGAACAAATGGCGTATGAACCGATTTCTCGGTCACCAGCTACCATGGGACTGCATCTCCTTACGATGCTCCACTACCTTGTGGATCAGATCTTTAGGTCAAAGGCTCTGGGCGTGGTCCCCTAAGAAAACCACCTGTTTCGGTTTGGGCACCCAGGCAGTATCACAGCCCTCACACATATCCAATGAGATATTTGTGGCGCATATCTATTTGGTGCCTCCTTGTACCGATATTTATGTGTTAAAATAAATAAAATGTTCAATATTAGATGATCATTATTAAGCATTGCTTAATCTTGTCCTTGTTGTTTTACTAGGGTTTTAGTATTCATACTTGATAATTGTTTAGTTATCATTAATGATAATATATACATTCATTTAAATATTCCTTAGTATTCTTTTACTGTTTCAATCATAACTTTAATCTTCTAGGTACTTTTGAAGTATTTCAATAAATGAGATATTCCTACATACATGCACTCTTGATCTTCGTTGTTCTTATTAATCGAATGTCAATGAATATAATCGTTCTATCTGGTTTATAGTTTGTTCACGTCCTACTGGATGGTAATGAAACATGGCCATTAACAGTAGAGGATATTCATAGGTTACTAGTATTTTATTATAGGTGTCTTCAAAGCATTGCTCATATATCCTGAGATACCAATAAGAAGTGGAATGCCTCACAGTAAAAGGTTAAGAAGATCAATTTGAAGTAGATAGATAGATAGATAGATAGATAGATAGATAGATAGATAGATAGATAGATAGATAGATAGATAGATAGATAGATAGATAGATAGATAGATAGATAGATAGATAGATAGATAGATAGATAGATAGATAGATAGATAGATAGATAGATAGATAGATAGATAGATAGATAGATAGATAGATAGATAGATAGATAGATAGATAGATAGATAGATAGATAGATAGATAGATAGATAGATAGATAGATAGATAGATAGATAGATAGATAGATAGATAGATAGATAGATAGATAGATAGATAGATAGATAGATAGATAGATAGATAGATAGATAGATAGATAGATAGATAGATAGATAGATAGATAGATAGATAGATAGATAGATAGATAGATAGATAGATAGATAGATAGATAGATAGATAGATAGATAGATAGATAGATAGATAGATAGATAGATAGATAGATAGATAGATAGATAGATAGATAGATAGATAGATAGATAGATAGATAGATAGATAGATAGATAGATAGATAGATAGATAGATAGATAGATAGATAGATAGATAGATAGATAGATAATGTGAATAGTGAGTCATTGTGTGATAGTAATGAATGAATGAATGGAATTTGAGACAATTAATAGATGATTTACAAATGAAGTATTGAATGTATGATTCTTCACATTTCGACCTGAGTTCTCGTTCACTACATCCGTACTGCTTATTATAGGAATAAGAATGAATGCAATATATCAAACATAATAAAGAAGCTAAATAGTATTGTTTTGATGAAAAGGGATTGAAAAATCTTCGCATTAATTGATTGTCTAGTAGGAACCATGGTTACTTTATTCATTTCTGTTATAATAATAATAATCGATTTTTCTTAGTCAAGTTACAATATAGTCGTTATTGACATCTTGGTATTATAGTAGATTCTACTTGTTGTTGGAAGCTAGTTAGAAATGGTTAATAGGATTCTCTTAATCTCCCATATTGTACGAGTATTCCATGTACCTAAATTAATAGGCATCAGCTTTATGACTTTCGAAGAAATTTGGCTTTCATCATGAAGAGTTATAATTTTTCTAAATGGAAGACTTTCTAATCTCTAGGGCATAGTTTAAATGGTTTAAATTATTTTTTTATTCTGATTAACGTTTTTTTTAGAGTGTTCGTTTTGTACGCGATAGGGTCACTAACTCCTTTCTCTTTTATTCAGGCTTGGGATCGTCAGTATCCCTAAAGGGACTCCAAGACAGAGTTGGTTGATGATAGGACTTCTGGTTTTCTTTTCTTTTTTTCTTTTTTTTTTAAAAAAAATTTCAGTTAGCATTTATTGCCTAAACATAACCGTATTCTTAAGTGAATGAATATTCTCTAACTTTCAGACTCAATGACTCGGACTCTTTCATGATTGTGTCAATTAATTCATGAAACATTAGCTTAATCGTTTGAACTTTGTTCTATCTTCTTCAAGTGAAGTCACTGTATCATTTCATTAGTTCTTATACTCCATATCCATGTCTAAGTCATTTTTTTTTTACATAAATCTTTACCTTCAGACATTATAAATACAATACTATTGTTTAACGTACAATATATATGTATATATATATATAAAGCAGATTTATGCATATTTACTAATCATATGATATAGAGGGTTTCAATTCAATTCTTATTCTATTGATCTAACAAGATAAGAATATCATTGCGATTATAAAAGCGTTGCATATTTCTATGTGTGTGTGTGTGTATGTATGTATGTATATATGGATGGATGGATGGATGGATGGATAGATCATTATAATAATAATAAGCATGTATTCCATAACCATTATCATTCTGATCACTGATTATATGGTATTTGTTTATATAAGAGGATTGGTTTAATACTTTTGTTTGTTTGTTTGTTGTTTTTATCTTTCTGGGAATTTTGAGAGCCCCTCCCAAGTTATACTTTCATCTTTGTTTTTGTTCTTTGATGATTTTTTTTACAATTTAAAGTATTTATTTATTTTAACACATAAGTATAGGTACAGGGAGGCACCAAATACATATGCGCCACACAGATCTCAATTGATTTGTGTGAGGGCTGTGAAACTGTCCGGGTGCCCAAACCGAAGCTGGTGGTTTTCTTAGGGGGCCACACCCCGAGCCTTTGACCTGAACGTCTGATCCACAAGGCAGTGGAGCATCGTGAGGAGATGCAGTCCAGTTCTATGGTAGCCGGTGACCAACGATTGGTTCATATGCCATTTGTTCCTTCAGGATACTGGAGCCCATGTGCACCATATAAGCTTCATGGTGATTTCTAAAATGTCTGTTTATGTGAAGACTTTTATAACAATCTGTTTATTCTCTTGGTATTTTACATTTGTAATCTCGATCAGACTGAACAATTGCATTTTCTTTCTTTTTTTTCTAGAGAGTTAGTCTTTTTTTTGATATTTTTGGCAAGGTGAATTTCTGTTAAATTGAAAAGTACTATGTTATCCAAGGACATCGTCATTGGATAGTTAGTGATAAATTATGTCTGATTAACGTTTTATTTTTTTAGCGAGTTAATTTTCTACGGGATGGGGTTGATAACTCCATGCTCAACCCTCCGGGCTTGGTACCGACGGTAGCCCTTGGGAGGGACTCCATGTGAAAGTACTATTATTTTCCAGATAGATCTTGTAGAGTTCTTTTTATTGTTGAAATAATTAATCATAAATGGTATTTGATTTATATGACTTAGGTCTATTATCCAATAAATCATTATAATACTGTTATAAAACTAACAATCTATAAATGGTATAATCTTAACTTTGTTCAATACATTATTCAGTGGATTAAATCTAAGTAAATTGGCTTTCCTATAATTGATAAATATAGGAATTAACAAATGAACTTGAAAGAGGCGTTATAGAGTCCAGTGATCATTTCAAAATTTAGTTTAAACATATCATGACACTTTTGTTTCTATGGTTATACTGTTTACAAATAGATAGACAATTGCTATTCATTATTTGTTCTTTAGTTATACTTTATTTATATATATATATATATATATGCATATAATTGATTTAAGCTATTCTTATCCTATTGTATTTTTTCAACAGCTTCATCGGATGGTTACGAAGGTAGTGCAACCTAATTGTTTTATTTTTTGCTTATTTCACATACATTTTATTTTATGCTATTATTTTTACTTTTATTGGGTAAAATTCTACCTTCCTTACGTCCATGATATGAGATAATCAATTTGTTGATTAAGGAAGGTACACAAGAGAAATAATAACAAATAAACTGATGTTATTGTTTCTGTTGTTTTTTTTTCTCTCTCTCTCTCTCTGTAATGGCTATTATCATAGTTTTTTTGTTCTGGTGTGTGTGTGTGTGTCTGCGCGCGCGCGTGCGTGCGTGCGTTTACCTGTGTCTTTTTGCACTGTTTCCCCCCCCCCTTCCCGCAAATATTGCTCTTATTAACGTTAGATGTTAATGGTGTGTGTACGGTTGTCAGTTTCTGATTATGTACACTATAGGAAGATATTTTTCCTTGAAATACATGAAGAATAGATCAGTTTTATTAATGATCGTTTCAATGTAAAAACGTCGATTTAGAGCTCAAGACAGAACTATTTCAGGTCTCTTACAATTTGCGTAGAGTTTTAGATGTAATGTCTCTGTACATCTGAAGCCGACTGCTAGCGACGAAAGTCCATGCGATAGGGATAGTGTTTCCTTACCCGTTCATTATCTTATAATGTTACCGCTATCATTATAACCCGCCTGGTTTGATGGGGACCTATAAGAATATGTGTTCCATCCAATCATAACTTCGTCGCCTACTGTTGTCTGTTACTTTAAATACCTTGGGATTCGTTCTAAAACTTTCATCTCTTTGCATTTATGGGCTACGGCAACTTCAACCGAAATACATGCCTTTCAGATTTTACTTTTCATTTGATTAACTCACATGTTCCGTCCATCCACTTTAATTTGATTGATTCATCACGATATAAACACTTGACATCTACATCGAGTGACTTCAGATTTTATTCATTTGGATGAAATTCAAGTACATTACATTCAAAACATTTATCATGCGTTTTTCAATTCCGTAGTTCATCTATCAATAATTAATATTTATTTTAACACATAGATATTGGTACAAGAGGGAACAAAATACATATGCGCCACACAAATCTCATTGGATATGTGTGGTGGCTGTGATACTGCCCGGGTGCTCAAACCGAAACAGGTGGTTTTCTTAGGGGGCCACACCCCAAGCCTTCGACCTAAAGGTCTAACCCACAAGGTAGTGGAGCATCGTAAGGAGATGCAGTCCCATGGTAGCCGGTGACCAACGATTGGTTCATACACCATTTATTCCTTCAGGATACTGGAGCCAGCCCATATGCACCATTAGTTTGGAATCCGGTTAAAGTGCCGGACATTCACTTCTCGTCCTCTCATTTTCATAAACAACAGTAATGCCACGAGAAGGCAGTGAGTAGGACTTCCCTTGCAGAGGCTGTATACGCGTGGCCATTTGAGAGCATTTTTCGAGGGAGAGCTGACTCGGCCGTACCAGGGGATTTGGGGGCATCAATAATTAATATTAATTTTTGTATCAATCATATTTTAACACTATTGTACATCTTCTTCAATTGACTTTATTTACATGAAGCTAACCACATTCTAACCTCACAAACTAATCACTTCTCATTAATTCAACCATAATCACCATAATACAATGATAATCTTCAAAATATTTTCAACTTCACTTTAATCATACTTCTATTTTATAGTCTATTGTAATTAGTTCTATCATATTGTGAGCTACAACAATCATTTATGATGATCTGTCCTCATCAGTAATTTCATAAGATTTTATAATGCATAAATGTTACCTTTTGTAATCTATTGTTTATAGTATATACACTGTGTTAGGTTCATGATCTCAATCATGAAACTTAATAATCTCCACAGCCTCTAAACGGATAGTTATCATATATTCACTAGTGATTAGCTTCGTGAAGAAATTCTCAGAGTTCTATTGAGATGCCGTGATCAATGGAGCTAATCCGTGTCGGGTAGAGACAAGTATCTAACTTAGTATAATGGACGATGATCGCTCAATTTCGTGGATTGGTTGAGGTTAGACATTAACACCATTAGTTGGACGACTTAGTAGTCTAGTAGATTAAGTGTTCGTGCGCAAGCTCGAATGACCTGGGTTCGAATCATGTGAGTAGAATCGCGAATACACACTGATAAAGAGTCCTGCGATAGGACGAAATGGCCGTCCAGTCCCTTAGGTTTTCAATGGTAGTGAATCATCAATCGGTTAATTGAACTATTAACTAAATGATTCACTCTTCATAATCTAACTTTCAATAAGAAGATTATGAAATATCTACTTAATAACAACTGATAGTATATCAGTAGATTATTTTGTCTATCATAATTCACTTCTGAAATACATTTCACTAAGGAGATTATGGTTACAGGATAAAGAGAAAGCGAGAGAGAAATGGAATTGATAAATTATACTATTACCTCAACGTATATATCTATGTACTTTTATAATTATTCTAGATTCATGTATATTTGTGTCTATATGTATTCATGTACTTGTTATTATTATTATTTGATGTGCACCTTTTGAACTAATGCACTATAGATGTTCATGCTTTTCTTGTACATTTTGTGAGTGTGTGTGTGTGTGTATCTTGGGTTGTTTTTTTTTTTCATTGCACAAGTACTTGTTTTTTTTTAAAACTGTTATCATTGATAACTCAGATATGAATATTAAGATTCTATTTATTCTTACTAATTTATCAGTTCCATGATCTTATAGAAAATTAAAATTATTATCATTATTATCACAAGGGGTTTTGTGAAGATTGTAGTAATTTCAATAGTTAAGATCATGAGTCAGTTGAAGTTAGACCACCATGGAAAACCTGGAAGCACTGGACGACCGTTTCGTCCTACTGTGGGACTCCTCAGCATTGCGCATCCACGACCTCGCCCCCTGCGAGATTCGAACCCAGAACCTACTGGCTTCGCGCGCGAGCACTTAACCACTAGACCACTGAGCTGGTCGGCATCCAACAGTGTTAATGTCTAACTTCAACTAATCCACGAAATTAAGCGACACATCCACCATTGTCTTCATTGAGTTACTATCTTACAACAGACCTGGTTGAACTCCACTGGTCACTACTTCTCTCTAGAACTCCAGGAAATACCTCTTGAAGCCAGTCACTAGTGAGCATATGTTGATTAATATCTGAAGGGGGTTTTGTGAAGATTGTAGTAATTTTAATAATTGAGATCATGAGTGCTCGCGCTCGGAACCAGTAGGTCCTGAGTTCAAATCGCTCAGGGGATGAGGTCGTGGATGCGCACTGCCACTGAGGAGTCCCACAATAGAACAAAACAGCCGTCCAGTGCTTTTAGGTTTTCCATGGTGGTCTAGTTTCAACTGACTCATGATCTCAACCACTGAAATTATGATTATGATAGAACAATGAGAAGACGAAATTGCTCTCTATACTTTTCAAACAGTTTGATCGCATATATACATACTTGTCAAAGCATTTTTATATGAAAATTAATAATAAAGATCAATGAAATGAAAGTTCAAGTACAAACAAAAAATAAAGTAACCAAGGGAAGAGAAAAAAAATAATAAGAGATTATCACATTACCCTAGGTCATAGAATAACTTAAGGATTATCAAGGTTACAACAAATTGTGTTTTGTACACATAAAGGGTTAGTGGTGGCGGTGGCGGTGGTGGTGGTGGGGATTAAATTTACGAATAGTCAAGGTTTTTAAATAAACTTTAGAATTTATTCTTGACAATTTCTATACAACGTTTTTTTAAAGCTCTATTCCTGCTTCGGTTTGGGCACCCGAACAGTATCACAGCCCTCAGACAAATCAATTGAGATCTGTGTGGCGCATATGTATTTGGTGCCCCAATTGTACCAATATCTATGTTTTAAAATAATAATAATAAAATCAATTTTGTGCCCTGTTTCAATTAGATATTTCCCTATCAATCTGAACCTGGTTTTCTACTTTTAATTAATTTTCATATAAAAAATAAATTACCCTGACAAGTGTATATATAAATGTGTGTGACCAGATTACTTGAAAAGGATAGAGAGTAAATATATTGTAGTGAATAAGAACATCAATGGGAGGGGGGAAACAATTGAATGTATTTCACAACAACACATTACAGTACGTGGTAATAAAATCTAACAACCATCATATAGTAAATGCTCAATTTGCAAAATATCTATCCATTGGCTTAGAATGAATCAAATTTCTTTTGTTCTTGCATTTTCATACAAATTACAGTGTGTCTTCATTTTTTACTGTTTGATCTTCTTGTCTCTCTCTCTCTCTCTCTCTCTGCAATCAGACATTCTGTTTACCAATAACATCATATACTACTTATGGTCTACATATAAGTAGTACACACCACAACATCAGTTCAACTCGGTCTTCTTATTATTCTATCGAAATTTATAAAAGAGATAAATTGCTTTAAAATTATCATTACTTCATTAGACTGGTCTTAGTTACTTAAGATAATCATATAAAACAATCAAGCTACAGATCTAAATGGATATTTCTTTTCTTTTTTTTTTGTATACTCTATTCTCATATCATGCATTGTAGTTTAATTTCAATACAATCTAATTTCCACAGATGCGTTAGAAATATTGCTGGCATCTACTGGGATCATCAGGTAATTAATAATAGTGAGTTTAGATGCAGGATATTAGAGAATGCTGGTAAATTAGTCGATGAAGATTTACAACTTCATCGATTGAGATGATTAGGCCACGTGTTACGTATATCTAACCACCGATTATCACGACGTGCAATGCTGATTTGTGTTGGAGACGATTGGAAGAAAGTTAGGGGTGGCCAAACCAAAACGTGGCATCAGTGCTTGAAGTCAATAACTTCTAGTGTTAGCCATGTTGCAGACTACTTGGTTGGGGTCCGTGTGTTTATCGTAACCAATGATTGGAGACTCTTGGTGACATGGCTCAGAATCGATCACAGTGGCGTCAGTGTATACACTCTTTGTCTTCCTTTAAACTATGAG